TTGGGCTCAATTGTGGTTGTAAGTTGAGGACTACCCGTATTTCATTTTTACAGCAGCAAAGGGTGGCTAATGCTTTCTGCTTGAGTGAGCTTGATTTTCCACTTCTTGAATTGCGAGATAAAAATAGATAGATAGGCCTTCATAAAAAAAAAGCTCTAATCGTGTCATATTGCTGGCCTCAAAAGTGCTGGGCAGATTGCAAAGCCGAGCCGTACAATTCCGGACGAGGATCCGGACTGGGAGAATTTGCTACCTTTTAATTTGTCTTCTCGCCCGCCTTCGGTCTTTTCCCGCCTCTTGCTTTTTGCAACCGCGTCCGCGGGAGGCGTAATTTAAAAAGCTGCTGCACCTCAACCAGTCGGGAGCGGTCGGGCGCACCGGCCGGCCGTCGCGCAAGAGGACCAAGAGAGAACCGGGCGCCCAAAAGACCCGCGACTCCTGAGTTCCCGCCTACAGTTTGCTTTGAAAGGTGAGGGGCCGCCTGCTATCGCCCGAAGGCCTGCCTGCGCGGACCGCGCGATCAGTTTTATCCCTCAAAACTGACGAAAGGAGGGGAGATTTAAAAAGAAGAAGAAGAAAAATGGGAGGAGATGGCAACTGGAGAGGGCTGCAGGGTGCTTGGAGGAAGATGAGAAGTTCTCATTCAAGGGTGTCCAACTTTGGCAAGTTTAAGATTTGTGGGACTTGCAGAATTCTCCAGCCGGCCATGCCAGCTGGGGAACTCTGGGAGTTGAAGTCCACAGGGGATTGGACTAGATACAGGGGTCCTCAACCTTGGCCACTTTAAGACTTGTGGACTTCAACTCCCAGAATTCCTCAGCCAGCTTTGCTGGCTGAGGAATTCTGGGAATTGAAGTCCACAAGTCTTAAAGTGACCAAGGTTGAGGACCCCTGGACTAGAAGACCTCCAAGGTCCAACTCTTATTCTGTTTAAAAAAAAAATCTTGAAGTTGCCAAGGTTGGACACCTCTGTTCTAATCCATAAGGAGCCTGGAAATCGGAGAGCGCCAGAGAAGAGGGAGGCGAGCATCCAGCCTGTTGGCGCTAACCAGAAGCATTTAAACTGAGCAGATCAGTACAGGCATTTCTTTTCCTTTTCTTGAAGGAATCTGGATTTTTTTTGAGGAAACAGTGGGGTAGTTATAGATTTGCAGTGGAAGACATCTGTATGAGAGGGAGAAAAAGAGGGAAAAGGGAAGAGACATACAAAGAGAAGGCAAGTATTTGGGGGAATGCTTTTTTTTCTAGCCACATCCCAGTTCAGTATTGAGTTGTATGGAGAAATTGGGGAATTTACAGCAGGGGGATTCCTTCCTTGGGAACGGATTGCAGACAGGAGAATGGATGAAGTAGGAGATGTTACCTGCTTTTGGTTTTGTCTAGAAGAGATTCAGCAAGTAATTGGTGAAGAAGGCATGGGGTGTGCTTCAACAAAACCCCAAATTTGTGTGATGAAAAGGATCTCTCTCTTTTTCTCTTTGCAAGGGAACACCTGTTTCTTGCCCACTGAAATCAAAAGATCCGATTTATATTTAGCCTTGCAATCGTGGTAAGTTTTCAATCAAAGTATTGTAGGCTGTGTTACCCATGGATTCATGTGTGAAGTTACATTGCATGCTTTACAGGTTGTTTTTTTTTCTCCAAATTATTTGACATAAATAGAAACTGGATCCAGGACAAGGCAGAAGCAAATATAAAGAAAATAATAGTACATATTTATGCAAATGAACAGCATATTTTAAATTCAAAAGGTGGATTTGATCAGTTTTCCTGACTAGCCCTCTGGACAGCATAAAGTAGCATTCTTGCCTCCGCAGCTGCTGTAATAGGGACTTTAAAAGAAAGAAAGTATCCTGTATTCCGTACTGTTATTTATAGATCTATTATATATATAGATAGATTATTTATAGCTTTACTCTGAAAGGAAACCAATTCTTTCTGTCAAGTTTGTTAATTCCTGGATTGAGACAATCTGCTTCAGCCTTAGGTTATCTTTCCATTCAAATCGTAAATTGAGGTAGTCCTCAACTTAGGACAAGAATTGAGCCCAAAATTTCTGTTGCTAAGTGAAACATTTGTTAAAGTGAATTTTGCCCCATTATATGACATTTCTTGTCACAGTTGTTAAGTGAATCACTGCAGTTGTTAAATTAGTGACATGGTTATTAGGTGACTCTGGCTTCCCCCATTGCCTTCACTTGTGAGACGGTCGCAAAAGGTGATCACATGACCCCGGGACGCTGCAACTGTCATAAATATGAGTCAATTCCAAGCATCTGAATTTTGATCACATGACCATGGGGATGCTGCAATGGTCGTAAGTGTGAAAAATGGTCATGTCACTGTTTTTAGTGTTGTCATAACTTTGAATGGTCACTAAATAAACTGTTGTAAGTTAAGGACTATAGTACCTGTAATGTTTTATTCCACAAACTTGTTTAGCCAACATCCATTTTACATAAGTAATTAATTAATTTGATTGTTGTAAACCATTTAAAATGGCTGTATCAACACAAAATCAGAGTACAAATTCATTCATTAATAATAATTGCATAATGAATTATATTCTTTAAAGATAGCTTTTGAAATCTCTCCCAGTTTTTTGTGATGCATAGTGTTGTTTTTAACTTGTTTTGCATCTGTTATATTTTTAATAAGGCATTGGAAGCTATTCTCCTTTCTACGTTGGTGGATTTGAGCAACCTATAAGCCCTGAAAATTCATTAATTAAAACATAATATTTTACGTAGATTTATTTGGACATGCAAATAACAACCTAGTATCTTTTTTCATTCCATTATGGATACAAAGTGAGAAATGCTTTGGTTTCTCAGTTAGTATATTTGTGATAATTAATGCATCTATGGTCAGGATACTCTTTCTATTACAGGTATCCTCAATTTACAACAATTCATTTAGGGACCATTTTAAATTATGACAGCACTGAAAAAAGTGACTTATGACCATTTTTCACACTTACAACTGTTGCAGCATCCCTATGGTCATGTCAACATTCAGATGCTTGGCAACTGCTTCATATTTATGATGGTTGCGGTGTCCCGGGGTCATGTAATCACCTTTTGTGACCTTCTGACAAGCAAAGTCAATGGGGGAGCCAGATTCACTTAACAATGGTGTTACTATCTTAACAACTGCAGTGATTCACTTAACACCTGTGGCAAGAAAGATTGTAAAATAAGCAAAATTCACTTAAAACTGTCTCATTTAGCAACAGAAATGTTGGGCTCAGTTGTGGTCGTAAGTCGAGGACTACCTATATTCATATCTATCATAATTTTTTAAAAATCCCCTGGCAACTATATTGCTATCCCTAGAAAACAATTGCAAGAGGCAGTCCTGAAGAATGAATTGTACAATGTCATATTTATTATCATGTTGTTGTTGTTGTTAGTTGCAAAGTCGTGTCCGACCCATCGCGACCCCATGGACAACGTTCCTCCAGGCCTTCCTGTCCTCTATCATCTTCTGGAGTCCATTTAAGCTCACGCCTACTGCTTCAGTGACTCCATCCAGCCACCTCATTCTCTGTCGTCCCTTTCTTCTATTGCCCTCAATCTTTCCCAGCATTAGGCTCTTCTCCAGTGAGTCCTTCCTTCTCATTAGGTGGCCAAAGTACTTGAGTTTCAACTTCAGGATCTGGCCTTCCAAAGAGCAGTCAGGGTTGATCTCCTCTAGGACTGACCGGTTTGATCGCCTTCCAGTCTAGGGGACTCGTAGGAGTCTTCTCCAGTACCATAATTCAAAGGCCTCAATTCTTTTGCGCTCAGCCTTTCTTATGGTCCAACTTTCACAGCCGTACGTTGCAACTGGGAAAACCATGGCCTTGACTATACGTACTTTTGTTGGCAGGGTGATGTCTCTGCTTTTTAGTATGCTGTCTAGATTTGCCATAGCTTTCCTCCCCAGGAGCAAGCATCTTTTAATTTCTTTTTATTATCATAATATCTCATTAATATTAGTGATTTCAATGAAATTTCCACCTTAAGTTTGTGTGTTGTCTTAATCTTCATTGTTAAGATTCTAGGTCTGATATACCAGTTAGTATGTGCCTCTTTTCAAAAAATTTGGGATTTTATTTTCTTTGTTTATTAACATTTTAAAATCATTCAATAACTAAAGGTTTCTGGGTGGTTTACAATAAGATACACTAAAAATATAGTTTAATAAAATTTTAGGTTATGCAGTGGTTGAATGGGTAACTTGAATATTGGAGTTAAAAGCATACTTGTTATTTTTTAAAAAATAATCTATGTTGACAGTGTATTTATATGGAGACATAAAACTGTTGTACAAAAGAATGATTAAAAGTAAATAAGTAAAGATTTTAGCTGAATTTTAAAGAATAAGTTTCTACTGGATGTTAATGATGTTTGTCAAACAAATCTAGTAGTAGGCATTTTCAATGGAATTTAAACTTCTATATAATAAACCTGTATCAATTGTGTGTATTGTATATTTGTTGTATATTTAAATAATATACCTTTTAATTATCATAGCCACAAATGCTTCCACAGAAGCTTATCAATCAAGAAAAAGTGGTGGTGTTCTCAATCATACAATCTTAGAGATATAGAACTAAAGAAAAAAGGAATAGAATAAAGAATGTAGCTTGGCATCCTTTTCTTAAAAAATAAATGTGTTCTTTTATTGTGGTTGAGGGTGTTGCTAAAACATTTCAGTTTCTGGTATTACATTTTCCATTTTCACAGCAGGGAGTGATTATTAAATCTATTTGCTTCTATGGAACAGTCATGTGGCAACTGCAGGCACTAACAAATAGCAATAATTGGTAAATATTATGGAACCGTTTCCATAAATTATTCATTAACATTAACTATCAGTTCTGTAGCAGAGATTTTATTCTTTCTTTAGCCTAGTTAAAATGTGAGAATTTTAAATGAAACTTTTATTATGGAATGAAACTGCTTATAAACTGGCATATTATTTTTGTCTTAATAGACCAAAGAACACACTCAGTTATGGACTGGGGAGCTCTACAAGCCATCTTAGGAGGTGTAAACAGACACTCCACCAGCATTGGGAAAATCTGGCTCACTGTCCTGTTTATTTTCCGTGTCATGATTCTTGTGGTTGCAGCAGAAAAGGTCTGGGGAGACGAGCAGCAAGACTTTTCTTGTAATACCCTACAACCTGGATGTAAAAATGTCTGCTATGATGAGCATTTCCCACTTTCTCACATTAGACTTTGGGCTCTCCAACTTATCTTTGTCTCTACTCCTGCTCTGTTGGTGGCAATGCATGTGGCATACAGAAAACATAAGAAAAAACAGGAATATAGAGACAGAAAGATGGATGTCGAAGATCTCAAAAGACAAAGGTTTCATATCGAGGGTCCCCTATGGTGGACATACACTAGTAGCATTTTTTTCCGAATTATCTTTGAGGTAGCCTTCATATATATATTTTACTACATTTACAGAGGATATCAAATGCCTCGGGTAGTGAAATGTACTGATTTTCCTTGCCCAAATACAGTTGACTGTTTTATTTCCCGACCCACTGAAAAAACTGTATTTACTATTTTCATGCTTGCGGTTTCAGGCATTTGCATGTTCTTAAATGTACTTGAATTATCTTATTTACTATTAAAGTTTTGCACAAAGAAGCCAAAAAATGAAAATTTAATGCCTAATCATTAGATGTGTATATTATTGATATTTTATTTTACATTAATTGTGAACATAAGTCAACAATACTTCCAGTCATCATGAAAATTGTATGGAACCTTATTTTAACAGCCATATTTATATTGTTGGAAGAAAAGTAAAACCAAATTTTGCTACTGAAATTATTCCAAAAATGATGCTTCTAAACAGTTAATTTGTTTTTAATGACTAGATAACATTCTAAGTGCTTTTAAATCAATTGGCTAATATCCATCTTCTAAATTCATTATTTAGTATATGCCCACAATCCTCAAACACATCTATAATATGTGTCAGGATCTTCCAATATTAAATTTATACAAAAGGCTTGGATTTAATTGTTATATTGGCTGGTTTATTGGACTGTGAGAATATACTTAATTCAGGAATTTTGATATAATCTGTTTGTTATACATATTATTGTTTGTTTAACTGTTAAGAATATGAATTGCTGTTTCTAACCACTTCTCCAGTTATTTTACTTATAATAATGGTATTTTTACTACATTGTTCACTTAATTATATTTCCCATACCTGGACATTTGCTGTTACTGGAAGAGTTAAATAATATGTTGTAAACTATGCTTAATAAATAAAAAATAGTGCCAATTAAGCTGTGAAACAGCATTGGTAGTTGCTTGAAATGTATGAAAGCAACACTGGTTTGATAAATATTTTAACACCATGCAGAAATGCTTATTTGCACAATGAGACAAAGGTAACTTAGTGAAATAGCCTGGCTTTAAGACAATAAGTATTTATACACTTTGTATATCAAAACTATAATAGAAATTCCATTTGCGTAGCATGCAGAGCTAGAATAGTACATTTAGAATAGTACAGAAATGGAACAATTTCAGTACAAAAGTAGAAATAAAATGTTACACAGATTAATGAAAATATGAGACTCGACACTCAAATTAAGTAATCCTATACAGGTGTCAAAAAAAACAGGAAAACTAGTAACATTCAGAAGGAAATAAACCTTGAGCTTAATAGTTTTAATAGATCTTTGGTTACAACAGCAGTTGATCCTGAAATTTCCATCACTAAGTAATGTGGTCCCCCATCCTGTTCATGTCGGAGGCACGCGTTTAAGGTACAGGTTGAAAAGATTAGTCAGTGACATCACTGTTGCCCAGGTAACACCCTTGGAAACTCCTTTCATATCCCCGTCAAGCAGTTGGAGCAAGAGATGGGAGTTCACTCCGCTGTGCAGCAGCACTCAGGTCTCAAACGTGGGCTTGCTAACTCCCAACCCAGTGTCCTAACCACGTGAGTCAACATGCTCCAAGTAATGTGGTTTTAGAATGCAAATGACTGCATTGCTTAGCAATGTCATTTCCAGCAGTCCTGTTGCTGTCATTGAAAGAGGAATATGAGCCATTAAGGATTTCCTAACAACTTCCTGCCAGCTTCCAACAAACAAAAAATGTGTAAGCAAATGCCAGGTGACTCAAAAGGAGAAGGGTGGCTGGGTAAATGGCTGCATGTCAGTGCCAAGCCCAAGGACAATGCAACAAAATCCAATCAAGTCCAATCCTTTATCTGCTTATATCTAATGGACAGAATCTTGCCAAACTAAAGCTATAACCTTCTAACATACTGGATACCGTGTTTCCCCAAAAGTAAGACCCAGTCTTTCTTTTGGGTTCTGAAGTAAGCACTAGGATTTACTTTCAGGGAGGGCTTATTTTTTGCCGCTACTATGGTAGTAGGCCACAAGCACTTAGGCGTGGGGCAGGGCCTGTGCATGGGGTAGAGAAGCAATGCAGCGGCGAGAATGGCGAACCAGGTACATTACTAGGGCTGGAGGGCGGGGCACATGCCCTTCCTGTGCCAGGCCAGGCCCTACAGCCCCAGAGTGGCCGTGCTGGGCGACGGGCAGGGTGGTGAGATGGGGGTTGCTAGGTTGACCAAAGCGGCAGGTGGAGCACTGGAGGCTCGGAGGGAGGGTGGTGAAGCAGGCAGGCGGGCCATTGGAGAGGGCAAAGCAGCTCGGCCGAAAGCAGCTGCGGAACAAGTGGGGCAGGTTCCCCCCTCACCTGCCCATTCTCTTTATCACCCCCGAGCCAGACTTTGCAGCTCTGCCTACGAGCCACCAAAGCGGCAGGTAGAGGCTTGGAGAGGGAGGGTGCTTAAGCGGGCATGTGGGAACTACTTTGGAAACATGGGAAAACTATTTTTTCCCACCCAAGTTTTTCCCTTTATTTCCCCAGGGCTTCCCATCTCCCGTTAGAATTGGTTGGCAGTGGGGGTTAGAGTTAACGTACAGTAGGCCTGGCAGTGGCATTGGGCATGACGCGTGAGGCGGCAAATGGCCACAGCTGGCAGCAAACAGCTGCACCACACCGAAAATGGCCATTTGCCACCTGCTGCCCAATACTGCTGCCATGAGGCCACGGAACAAGCCGGGCAGCAATAAGGAACTGGTATAATGGGTCAGAAGGGGGGAGGATCTGCCAGGCCTCATAGCAGCGGCATTGGGTGCAATGCATGAGGCGGCCAATGGCCACAGCTGATGGCAAATGGCCATGTTGCATCAAAACTGGCCATTGGCCGCCTCACCATCACGCCCACTGCCACTGCCATGAGGCTGTGGAACAAGCCGGGCGATGGTAAGGAACCAGTATGTCATTACTGTGGGTCAGATCCCCCCTCCCCCATTGGTTCACCTCATCACGGAGGCACTGGCAGATCCCCCCCTTACCTTGTGTCTATGGTGAAACCAGACGAAATCACCAGCAGGTCGTGCAGGCCCTTAACTAGGGCTTACTTTCAGGGAGAGGGTTTATATTAGGCCCACCCCCAAAAATCAGCTGGGGCTTTCTTTTGGGGCCAATGGAACCCAATAAAGTTCAATATTTGCAAGTTGTAATGTTCATTTGAACAAGTCACATCAACAGGTTGGTCACTTCATTGTAAACTTTAGAAACTGTGCATGGTTCTTCACAGACTTGCATATGATATACAACAACAGTGGCTCAAAGGGAGGCAAGTAGGGAAGACGGATGTGGGGTTGATCTAGTTGTGACATCTGTCACCTCATTGATATCTAGCATAGATTTGGCTGAACTGACCAGATGGCCCCATCCTACCTCACTGCTCCATGTGCTTCCTTCCCAAAGCTGCAGAGGAAGAGGAATCCATCGCAGATAGAAGGATTGTAGCAATCTTCCATTAGGGTTATATGATAGCTGCACTTCCCTGCTAGAACCTCCAAACAAACTCTTTGACATATGTATTATAGACGCTTAGCGATTGTTTAAAGCTATGATGGGACTGAAAAAAATAACTTATGACCCAGCCCTCGCATTTATGACCATTACAGCATCCCTGCAATCATGTGATCAATATTTGCAATCTTCCCTGCTGGTTTCTGACAAGCAAAGTCAATTATTGGTTGGTGTGGTCATGTAATGTTTCACTTAATGACCACTTTGCTTAGTGATGGGGTTACCAGTCCAATTACAGTTGTTAAGTGAGGACTGCTTATATTCCTGTTGACATCGGTCTAACACAAGGATGGCAAACTTTTGGGACTTGATAGCTTTCAACAGTTCTGCAATGCATACGAAAGGAAAACGCTAGAACTTCTAAAACAGAAATAGAAAAAAATGCTACTTAAGATCTAGCAACTTTAAAAAAGAGTCATTTCACATCTAACTGTGGCCAATCAGATATTTCCAAGAGATCCAGAAGATGGAATGAAAATACCAGGGCTTTTTTTTGTCATAGAACGCCCAGAACGGAGTTCCGGCACCTTTTTTGGATGGAACCTTGTAGGGTAGGCAAGGCGGGTTGTATGACGTGTGTGAGTTCCGGCACCTTTTTTTTTTTTACAAAAAAAGCACTGGAAAATACTATATTAGAAGGCAAGGCTGTTTCACTGTTACCATCATTGGTGTGCTTGGGTGTGTCTGTATATATAAATAGTTTTCATTTAGCAACCATACTTGGTCGTTAAGCAAGGCAGGAGCTAAGTGAAATTTAGATTAGATAACCTTTATTGTCATTTTTTTACTGTGGGCACAACGGCCCACATTAAAAATGAAATTTACTTGCTTGCTCTCAAAGTGTACACATACATAACACACATTTAAACATACTTTATACAACATACGTATAGAGTCTATAGACCTACACCCTTACATATAAGTAACATGACTTATATGCAGGGCTTTTTTTTGTCATAGAACGCCCAGAACGGAGTTCCGGCACCTTTTTTGGATGGAATCTTGTAGGGTAGGCAAGGCGGGTTGTATGACGTGTGTGAGCTCCGACACCTTTTTCTTTTTTTTTTTTACAAAAAAAGCACTGCTTATATGTAAAATTATGACTGTGCTTATGATCCTGCTTCAGAAATGCAAAGGTCATAAATGTGAGGACAGGTGACAAAGATACTTTTTCATCACTGTTGTAGCTGCAGTTGCTAAGTGAGGCAGTCAGTACATACACAAACACACACGCACTCTTATAGAAGACAGTGAGATGCAGTGGTTAAGGTTCTGGATTAGGCACAGGGAGATTCAGATACCCTTAAAATGTTTTTATTTGTCGCTTCCTTTTCTCTCAATCTATTAGTGAACATTATAAAACATTATAAAAACCCATCGAAATTTAACGGTGCAATTTGCTACCAAAGTTTGGTGGTAATGAGTACCATTGGTAATGAGGGATAGTAATAAAAAGTCCACTTTTTTCTTATTACACCCAGTGTAATTTTTTCTCTTTTTTTTGTTCCTTGAAGTCAGCGACCAAATAATCAGGAATACATGGGGAATATCAAAAGAACCTTTTGCATTGCATTTTAACTTATAAAAATGCTGCCAAGAATATATATATATGAAATATATATATATAATAAGAAAAACTATCTTGCCTTACAGTCTTGTTTAACATACTTCTTGACTGGAGAAAAAAGTGTACCAGCAAGAGAAACGTTGCAAGATTATTCATCTTAGTTAACGGAAGTTTATGATCAATACTTCTGTAACCCAGAAACTCTAGGCACTTGGATACATGCAAATCTCTTTCTGTCCTTTAGGTTATCATCCTGATTGAGTCATTTAAGAAAGTACCTTCAAAACGCCCAACTTTATAACATGAAGATAATCTGCCTTTAACCCCCCAAAATCTTCACCTTAAATATGGATCAGCAGGTTGTCATACTTTGTTTTAGAAGTCTCCATCTCTTTTTAATTTTGCAAAAAGGTTTTTGTAAGAAGCTGTAAAATCTAATCAGGTTATGATCAGGAAGTGTTTTCTCATGTTGCTTAATCAGCTTGATGCAACTCCTAAAAATCAAAATGCTATTCTCGGTAATTCTAATTGAAGAGATCTTCATTAAACGGGATTGAACAGTCATTCATCCTTAATAGCTCTGTTCTTCAACTCTTTCTTAAAAGAACTTTTTTTAAAATCTAGATTAAAATCAAAATTAATATGCTGATTAATAGACTGACACCGGAAACCTCATTAGAAAAGCACTCCC